ATCTGTTGGAGAGTTTACAATAAGATAATAAGTTTTCTCCTACCGAAAACATGCTGCAAAGATGCCCAAAATTTTTCGTTGGATTTGGATTCAAGAGAGGATTATGTTCAAAATTCAAGAAAGGAAAATCAAGGAGGACTGCACTGATCCGCAACGGTCACTTGTTTATTTGTTGTTCCTGCGGAAACCTAAAAATTTCGATTTTAGTCCACCCGGCAAGGTATGGTGGAATTTGAGAACAGGCCATGCAAAGCTGCCATTCTTATCATAATTGGCGATTTTGTTCCACACTGATTTTGCATGGTCATTTCAAATTTGTATAATTGACATTCAGGTCGAAGTAACAAGATTTCTTAGTAGTCGTATTCATGTTCTTCCAGGTTCTTCTAGCATAATGCTGTGTTTTAAAACTCAAAATTTAGGCAACTTTATTTATACCTTTTTTTATAAAACGTGCTTGAATTTGAATGTGAAGTTGAAAATGAGGATGAAGGAGAGCTGGAATTTAAATTTCGACTTGTAATTTTGATCTTCTTCCACTTCGGGTAAGAATGGTATTGGCCGGGAAGGGACAAGCTGTGAACTCAGCCTTTCTGTGTTTTATTTCTTTTTAGAGTGCAGCTACCCCTCGCCTAGAAAACAGTCCATCTTTTCTGTTTTTAATTGATAACTTCAGAATACCAGCCATCTTCTCACTCTTTGCCCATTTGATCTAATTGCTAAAGAGCATGAACAATTCTGGCACACTACAGCAACCATTTTTTTATTGAATTTACGCCGACCCACAACCAATCTGCCAGACAATGATCGTTTTGTCATTGCCTGGGAGGAGGGCAGTCTACTCGTCCACAGGACTCTATCATTCCACTCCTTTGGGTTTCAGAAGTGACGCTCACTGGCTGGCTATGCAACACTCTGCTGTATTGCGTTGTTATTGTTCAAAATTGCTATATTTTAGTTCTTAAATCTTGTATCGGTTTTTTTGCAATTTGTATTTTCTCTTACTTT